ACATTTGGAACCACAAATTCGTATATGATTAAATAAGAGTACATGGCAATACAAGAATTGAGGATCTACTTAATAAATTAAAAAACAAAACAATAGCAGAAGAAAGGCTAAAACATGAATGAGTCTCGTGGACACTATGCTAAGCAAAATAAGCCAGTCACAAAGGACAAATTCTGTATGATTTCACTTACATGAGGTACTTGGAGCAGCCAAATTCACAGAGACAGAAAGTGGAATGATGGTTGCCAGGGACTGTGAAGCAGGAATGGGGGGCGGGAATGGGGAGTTTGGTGTTTAAAGAGCAGAGAGTTTCATTTTAAAATGATGAAAAAATTCTGGAGTTGGATGGTGGTGATGGTGCACAACAGGATGAATGTACTCAATGCCATTGAACTGTACACTTAAAAATAGTTAAGATGGCAAATGTTATGCTATGTATATATTACCGCAATTTAGAACTACCTAGTTTTTAGAACGTAGAAGAGGATGAAAATATTAAAAATGGAAACAGAAATTTAAGCACTGCCTCCCGCTGTCATTGGGAGGGTCCAGGGCAGCTCAGGGGCCCTAAGGACCCCAAAGACTGCTTCCCAAACTAATGGATAAATCTAAGGGTCCAGGGTATACAAATATAAGCAAATAAAGCCTGTGGCAAGCCAAATCAATAAACGGAGAAGAGAAATGCACAAAATTAGAAATGAAAAGAGAAATAATCAAATACAGAAATTAAAAATACAACGTGCCTATATTGAAAAACTACGCAAGTATGTTGAAAAATGGATGAAATTAACTTTATTTAAGAAAATGTAACTAAAATTGACTCCAGAAGTGCTCCAGGATATAACCTGCCTGATGGGAGAAATCAGAAATACACCAGAACTGGCCCAGATAGTCCCCAGGTAGTTTTCACAACGAAGTAGAAAATGGTTCTAAAGCCAAGCAGATGGTTAGAGCATACAGAGGTTTTTGTTGTATGTTTCTTTTTTATTTTGGAAGTCAGCATTAAATAAAATCTAGAAAAGCAAGCTGCAGACTGATTAATCATAATGTAAGTATCAACAGCAAAAATCATAAGACCAAGTAGAAATCATCTCAGGAATATAATAATAATTTTGTATTAATGATTCTATTAATATAATTCAACATAAGTCTACAGCAAAGGGGAAAATGTTCTAATAATCTCTGTGGATATTGAGAAGGCTTACACAAAAATCTAACATTACGTTTTTCTCAGAGAGCCTTCATAGTTTGAGAATACATGGATACTTTTTTTTATTACAGCAAGTAATGACTCCATACAAGTCAAATGCTGAGACATTAAAAACATCCATTAATGTCAAGAACAAGCTAAGTATGCCACCTGAGTCACTATCCTATGACACTGCTCTCAAATGCAAATGGATAAGAGAAAGAAAAAGGGAACTACTGGATAGGAGGAATCAAAAGCAAATCTTAAAACAATAAGAAATCACAATTATGGTGACTGACTATAACATTCATGTATGAAAACCAAATACTTTCCTACACATGCAGTCAGAAAATAAAGTGGAATAAATCATCCCATTGTAAGTGGTAGCCAAATGACAAAATGTCTAGAAATAGGTAGTCACAGGACCTGGCTGAACAAAATAATAGACATTACTGAGTGGTGTAAAATTAGATTTAAACACACACCTGAATTACAGTGTTCTTGAATAGAAGACGCTATAAACTAATTTTGACCCCAATTTTCTTTTTTAAAAAAGGTGTATATACAAGAAAGAGAATTAGAGTTGAGGGGAATGTTGACTTGAAAATATTGACATTAGCATAAGTAATTAAAGACATTCATAGCTGAATCAATAGAACAGAAATAGAACCAAACACTTATTTACAAACAAGGTGGCATTTTGAACAAGTGGGGAAAAGATAATAATTGTATTACAGATATGCATTATTACATATTTGTTGGCACAACTGACCATCATTTGGAAGAAAAAATGGATCTTTACCTCCATGTACTACAATAAATAAATTACAAGGAGTTAGAAGATGAAAAGGGACACAAATAAAACCATAAAGTTTAGAGGAAAATATGAGTGTTTATTTATAGTCTCACAATGGGGAAGCCTTCTTAAAACTGAAAACAAATCCCAGAATCTACAGAGGAAAATTTGGATAAATTGACAACATAAAAACTTAAAATTTCTATATACCAATAAATAAACAAATCAATAAATAACATTAAATGACAAATGATAAACAAATAAAAATATTTTCAACATATAAGACAAAAATGACCCAGACTAATTAAACAAATGAATTAAGAAAAGGCCAATAACCCAATAAAAACTGGAAAAATTTACAAAAACTTAAATCACCAAAAAACATTTAAAAAGATGTTCCACTTCCCTCAATAAACTAAAATCAAAATATTCCTCAATATCATTTTTTCACCACTCACATTGGGAAAAATAAAGTTTGAAAATACCAAGGGCTAGAAAGCTGAGAAACTGGCCCTTTTATTGTACTCTTGGTGGAGTTATAGCTATGGACCAGTTTCTGGAATATAATCTGGCATTATCTACCAAAACATAACCTGAATTCCAGCAATTCAATTTCTAAGTTGGAATTTATGCCAAGATACTGTCACAAAAGTATGCCAAGATATATGTACAAGAATACTAATTATAGATTTCTATACAAAAATAAAAACTGAATATGTTCACCAATAAAAGACTATTAAAATAAATTATAGTCCACTGAGACAATGGAACACTAAGCAGCTATTAAGAGGAATGAGGTAGATTTTTATATGTTATTATGCAAAGGTCTCTAAGACAAACACCACATGAAAAAAGCAAGGTGCAGAACACAAGTGTTGGAAAGGGAAGGTCTCTTTCCACATCCCCTCCCTCCTTCTTGGCCACTTTCCTTCCTTTCTAGAAATGCCCCTAGAAGCTCATCAGTGGTCCCTGTGGGGAGAGAAAACAGGGACTGTGGGAGGCTATTGCGTTTAACTACTCACACTTTTTCTAACTACATGCTCATCTACTTATTACTTTTAAAAAATAAGAGTAAACCGGGATTGGTGGCTCAGCCTGTAATCCCAGCACTTTGGGAGGCCAAGGCAAGTGGATTGCCTGAGCCCACGGGTTCCAGACCAGCCCAGGCGATTTGGTGAGACCTCATCTCTACAATAAATGAAAGTTTAGTCAGTCATGGTAGCAGGCATCTGTAATTCTGGTTACTTGGAAGGCTGAGGCGGAAGGATCGCCGGAGCTCAGCAGATCGACACTGGGTGGCTGTGAGCCTGCCACTGCACTCCAGCCTGGGCAACAGAGTGAGATTCCAACTCAAAAGAAAAAAAAAGTGAGAGTAGTTATTTGAGTGGCCAAAATATAAACTAGTTTTATTTGCTTTTTTTTTTTTTTGTATAAAATACAAACCCAGAAGGGTTTTTTTTTTAAAGTAGAAATGTGGTAGGGGTCAACTTTTGGATAATGGTAAGAAATGAAGCAGTATCTTTATAAATCAAAACACTTCTACTTGTTTCAAAGATACTTTAATAGAAACAAATAAACCAAAATCTTGTTTGTGGTTGTTCATCCATATACCACATGGGACAGGTGAACACTGAGGAGGAGCATGCTTCAAGCATCCTGCGGCTGAAATGTCCTGACTTACCAACCTTTTTGTTGGAAACACGGTCTCTTGACCTAAGTCACATACACAGGTACTTGTGCACGTACGTACACACACACACACACACACACACACACACACACACACACCCCTTCCATCTTGCTCCAGTGCAAACAAGTTTATGCATATTACCCAGAAATGAATGAAGTGGAAGGCTAGGAAATTGTATCCAATTTCTTGTACTCTGAAAAGCTAATCTTCCCTCATAATGTGCCCACAACTCGGGGGTTAGAAGCAAATTAAAGATCTCTAAGAACACAGAATCCTTCTGCTCTTCTGAGCTCTGAGTTCTGAGCAACTGCTGGATGACACAATAGAATGGAAGAGGTCTTTCACGGTGAATTACCCTCTGACCTCATTTAAAAACAAGAAGAATGAGAAGGGGCAAAGTGATATTGTCAGCTAGATAATCTAATGGGAAAACCGTGTCATCACTTAGTTCACCAAGTAAAGTTTCTCCTTTTCAAAACACTCATCTCCAGTGAAACCACCCATGGACCCTGGGCCTGCTTTCTGGGTTGAATGGAACAGGGAAAGGCAGATCCCTAAAAGCCAGCAACCGTAGTTGCTCACCTGCAGCCACTGAGGTCAGCCAGCTCCTCTCTGCTGACTGCCACTGGCCCCGCATCCAGGGAAGCCATGGCCCACACATCCCCTCCCAGGGCCTGACACACAGGGGACCAGAGGAGTTCCCAACCTCTGGCCCTTGAGCCTGACACATGGAGGAAAAGCTGAGGAATACTTTCCCTTCATGCTGGGCATCTGTATGGATTCACACATTTCTCAGGCTCATCAGCTGCCCATACATGTGAATCATCTAATGCATTAAAAATAAACACATAAATTGTTTAATTTAGCTTTAATTTATTCCTTTGGGTTGTTACTTCTAGTAGAACTCTACTTGTCCTTTGGGTTTTGCAGAATACAACAGACTTCCTCAACTCCTCAGTGTGTGCGTATGTGTGTAGGGGGGTGCTCATATGGGATCTGGCAGAGAAACACCCATCAACTCAGCTGGGTCCAGTCCTATTTTGAAATCAACACAAACCTGTGTCCCTCTGATTCCCCTAACAGGGAATTTTTTTCAGAAATCAGTCAGGCTGGTAAAAGCATAGTTTACAAAATCAATTCCCTCTCTCTCTCTCTCTCTTTCTTTCTCCCCCCATCTCTCACTCATGTAGAAACAGCATAAAATTGTGTCTTTCTACCAACTGTATTTGGTAAAGAAAAAAATGAATAAAAATTCAATTGCAGAAAAACCAACTAATAGGTTTTTAGTTTTTGTTTCCTGTTTTCCTCTGACCAGTCAAATATTTGAATGGATTTAGTGAGTCTGGTTTATTATTAGTCTCAATCTAGATTTGTAGGCAGACAAAAGCAAATGCTGAATTTCCATGTGGGCCTTCATGGCAAGTGGCATGCAGGCATGCAGAACCAATGGTACAGGCCTCCCCTGCCCTGTGGAGCCACCAGAAACTCTGAGGGGTTTTCCAGGACTGGGCAAATGTGCAAAATGATCTCTCTGCGGCCCTGCTACCCACCGGAAGGATGTGCCAAGGGTATTGATTGGCCCATCCAAGAGGATTAAACCGAAAGGTGCTAAGAGCCTATTACCTAGAGTAACAAAGACATCATAACCAACACGACTGACAGCTTAAGAGACATCAAAGTTGTCGCTTTTAATGTTGGTGGGATGGGCGCCCCCCAATTCTCACCACACCCAAAACTAGGCCCATCTGCGTGTTTCTCCGGGGACAGGCCCGGGTCGGCTCACGCAAAGTCTTTGGACACAGCCTCCACGAAGTTGGGAGCCGACATGAGGATGCCGATGGTGCAGATGATGGTGAAGACCGAGAAGGCCATGAGGCACAGGCGGTCCACCACGCAGGCCGCGAACTTCCACTCGCTGCACACGGCCTCGCTCTCGTCCTGGCAGCGGAAGCGGCTGGCGATGTAGCGAACCTCCTCCAGGATCTTGGCCAGGTCCGGGTCGCCCTCGGGGGCCTGCCCGCCGTGCAGCAGGGGCTCGTCGTGTGAGGGCGAGCAGGCCATGCGGCCGCACACCACCCCGGAATCGGGCGTCGGGGCGCAGTGCAGGCCGTCCAGGCCGCGGAAGCCGATGTACAGCAGGTTCCCATTGGGGGCGGGGGGCGCGGCCACGGCGCTCATTTCCACGCTGGCCAGGCTGCAGCGGCGCTGCTTGTGCTGGCAGGCCGGCCGCACCTTGTCCTCCCCGGGCCGCTTCATGCGCAGGAACCATGCACACCAGTTCAGGAGGATGACTCTGGTCTGGGGAGACAACAGGACGTTCAGGAGCGTTCATCAGCCCCGGCTGGGCCCCCGCGGCAATGGTATCCTACGGGACCAGCCCTGCGTCGAGCCTCCCAGGGTGCCAGGGTGCATCGCCTTCCAGATGAGTCTGTCCTGCTTTACTAACAGTTGGGTCACACAAGAGACCAGAATAACAGTGCTGTGGAAAATCACCCTGGGAACCAGCTACATTTTTCTGCTAGGAGGGCACACTGCAAACTCAAGGAAGTCAGCCTCAGGGGAGGAAAAGGCGGTCTTGCTAAGAGAGCACCTGAGCTCACTTTCCTTTGTCACTTTCCCTCTCTGATCCTTCCTCTTCTGTAACCAGGGAACCAGGAGACCTAACTCTGACTCCCACCCTACCTACCTGTTATGGGCTCTAGAAGGCCACTGCAAACTCATGGGGTCCCCTGGGAGAATTTACATTTTCAAGGGCAACCCTGGGACATCCATCAGACACCATGTGAACTTGGAGCCCGAGGAAGTTCAGACTTCCAACACCTGATCACCACATCCCTTGTGATGATGTCCTATATGTGCAACCCTGCTTTTCAAAGTTGTCCCGATGAGAAGCAATTAACAAAGAAATTCAGGTGAAACAGATAACAACAGTAGTTGTCTATAATCTGGTCTCAAGATAGGAGAGGTAGTGCTGTGCCTCACAGGTGCTACATTGTTAAGGCATGAGTACTTACTAAATTGTTTGGAACTATTTAACAAAGAGAGTTTTGGGTGTTATTTCTTTGGGCCAGGGGCTGTGTGGGAAAAAAAAAAAAACTCTGGAGACATGAACTTGCTGTGAACCAAAGAAGCTGAAGAACCTCTAACCTAACTCATGAGGCTTCAATGAAGATCAAATAAGATAAGAGTACTTTGAAAAGTTGAAAGCAGAAGTTGGCAAACTTTCTGTAAAGGGTCAGAGAGTGAAAATATTTTAGTCCTGTGTGCCATAAGGTCTGTGTTGCACCTGCTCTATTCTGATGTAGCACACACAGAAAGCACGCAGATGATGGGAGTAGCTGTTTTCAAAAAAATTATTCACACCAATATCAACCACTGGGGAAGAGAGATGATATTTAGCAAATGGTGCTGGGGAAACTGGCTGACCACATGCAGAAGAATGAAACTGGACCCCTAACTATCACCATATATGGAAATCAACTCTAAATGGATCAAAGACCTGTACATAAAACCTCAAACTATAAGAATCCTAGAAGAAAATGTAAGAAACACCCTTATGCACATCACAGTATGCAACAAATTCTTGACTAGGTCCCCCAATGCGAAAACCATAAAAGCTAAGACAGGCAGGTGGGACCTCATCAAACTGAAAAGCTTCTGCACAGCAAAAGAAACCATCAAGAGAGTAAAGAGACAGTCCACAGAATGGGAAAAAGTATTTGCTAACTATGTATCTGACAAAGGCCTAACATCCAGGATCTACAAGGAACTCAAATCAAGTGAAAGGAAAAACAAACAAACAACCTCATTAAAAAGTGGGCAAAGTATGTGAACACTTTTCAAAAGATGACATACAAACAGCTAACAGACACATGAAAAAATGCTCCGCCTCACTAATCATCAGAGAAGTGCAAATCAAAACTACGAGATAACACCTAACTTCAGTAAGAATGGCCATCATTAATAAGTCAAAAACGACAGATGCTGGCATTGGTGCAGAGAAAAGAGAACACTTCTACACTGTTGGTGAGAGTGCAAACTAGTTCAATCTCTATGGAAAGCAGTGTGGTGATTCCTAAAAAGAACTAAAAATTGACCTTCATATGATCCAGAAATCTTTCTCCTGGGATTATAACTGGAGGAACATAAATCGTTCTACAAAAAAGTCACCTGCACATGCATGTTTATTGCAGCTAGTACGATTCATGAGAGCAAAAACATGGAACCAACCTACTGCCCATCAAAAGTGGACTGGATAAAGGAAATGTGGTACTTATACACCATAGAGTATTATGCAGCCATAAAGAAGAACAAAATCATGAACTCCGCAGCAAATTGGAAGGAGCTGGAGACCATCACACTAAATGATCTGTCACAGAAACAATGAACTGAACATCACACGTTCTCACTCATAAGTAGGCCTTGAACATTAGTCACATTAGCACAAGGGAGGGATCAGCAGTTGCTGGGCATTGCTAGGGGAATGGGGGGAGGCACATAACAACACAGAGTACCTGATCCTACACCAAGGGTAGTGAGGGCCAGTTGGAGGCCCAAACTTCACCTGCATGCAGCCTGCTTGTGTAGTTAATCCTTGCTTGTACCCCCTTCTCTATAATAAACCAAAATGTAATATAAAAAAATTATTTACAAAAACAATTGGGCTGGATTTGGCTGCCAATGCCATGTTTGCTAGTCTCCAGTCCAAAGTGTTGCTTCAGAAGGGAGACATCTGAAGCCTCAGTCCAAACATTCTTCCAAGCCTATCCAGATAAGGGTTTGGCAAATGGGTCCTTTCCCCAAAATTAGCCAGATCCTGATTTCATTCACATTTCATTTTATGATGATGGGGGAATTTCATCAGCAAACTAGCAGGTAAATTTCCTATCCATAGGTACATAGAGTAAATGGTGAACTTCATATCTGCAAGGCTTTCATTCCTGGCAACCTTTTTATAACATCTTACCAAAGATAAATGCCGCAAACAGGTCTGGAGATGGCGATGAAAAGGATAGGAAAGCAGAGGACCAGTCTCACTGCAGCTGTGTAACGATAAACCCTTGTTTTGCAGCGAGCGTTACAAGCGGGCAGCACTCTATACGTCCCAGAAAGGCTAGGTCTGCTGACCTGAGAGGGTTTTTCTCCCAATTAGCAAGAGGCAGGGACACACGGGCCCGTGTGAAACCTCTGCCCTCATACAGGGCTCATAATAGATGTCATCTCACCTGGGCCTTCCAGGGCTCTGTGAAGTGAGTATAATCCCCTCACTTTACAGACCAAGAAGCTGAGGCTCAAAGAAACTAATAAACTGGCTCAAGGCCATACAATGAGCAAGTAGTTAAGTCACTTAACTCATTTAGATTTCTCCAGCCTCATTTGTAAAAGGCTCTATGAGGATCGATTCAAAACTCCTGCAGCTTTAGCCCACACTCCTGTAGGAAGGCACCCCAAAAGCCTGAGCCAGGGCAGCGTGCAAGTCTGCACACAGAGGCTGCTGCACACACGTGGAGCTGAGCAGTGCCAGGTGCTTCTGCCACACACAGCAGGGGGCTGCCCATCCCCTGCACACCTCAAGCTCATACGATTTGCACTGCCAAGTCTATTTTGAGTTCCATGGCCTAAATCATTAGCTTTCAAAGCCAGAGCATCTTAAAAGATAAAATTATCCTCTTGGCACTTCTCAAACTGTGCTCTTGACCTCCTCCGTTAGGCTACAGTTTTGTTTCTGGCTGTGCAAATGTCACATAATGCCACCGCACTCGGCAGTATCTTCTTCATAGGAACAGATCATAATAAAAGTCCCTTGGAGGCTGTTTATGTTTCAAACACACATGGAATGAAAGAAAAACGCACTGTGCTATATAAAGCAAGCGAGATGTATAAGCTTCATCTTTCATTTGCAGCCAATTGGTTTTAATAAGCTTTTATGCTGAGAGGTGAATAATTAGCATATGCTCTTAATTAAGATTTTTCTGGAGCAGTAGAGTGCTCCGGGTCATTAAAAATGGTTTTGTGTCTCCCAGGTTTAATTCCCTTATCTTCCCATCTGTCAAAATACTGACAAAAATAAGAGTGTTTATATTTTTGTATTTGCAAAAATAAATGTTAGAAGGAATTCAATGAAACAGTCATCAGTATTGGTGGTAGACGCAAGGTGAGGGGCAGGATGATAGCAGGGTTTTCTTATGTATAATTTTAATTTTATTTTGACTTTTAAAACAGGTGCATGTAATACCTGCTTCAAACAGACAGATGGATGGACAAAAAGACATGCAAATAAGCAAGCCCCAACACTCAGAGCTCCCAACTCTGGGCTGGCCTCTTGCCTAAGTGTGTCAGGGTTTTAAGGAAGTCAGGCAAAAATGTAGGTAACTGTGTGGGAATATACCCCAGTGTTTTAAGGAGTCCATCTCAAAACAAGTCTCAAGGACTGTATGTAGCAAGGTGATCTGTGAGATGTCACCATGGAAGCTGACCTTATGCTACTGCTGGCACTATGAGCTACAATGGGTTTGTTGTTTTTTTTGTTTTTTTTTTAAGAGATGGGGTCATGCCTTGCTGTACTGCTCTGTCACCCAGTCTGGAGTGTGACCATAGCTCGCTGCAACCTTGATCTTCTGGGCTCACAAGATCCTCCTGCCTCAGCTTCCGGAATAGTTGGACTACAGGTACATACTACCATGCTCACAAGTGAGTCTTTATTAAGTGTATGAGGTGAACAGGCATGGGGAAAATAAATATGAGAAGAAACAGTAACTTAGTAAAACAACTTTTTAAAAGTAATCTTTACTAAGTTAACATTTGGGTAACTATAAATTTTCACACAATGAATGTTTTGGGGGGCCCAGAAACCCAGTGTTTTGTAGATGACTAACCGCATCTTACCCCTCACAGTTGCATTCAGCATGTTGCTGATTCCTAGATCCCTTCTGAACTTCAACACAGCTCCAGGGACAAACTGGTGTGAGGGACTTTTTAGTTCCCAACCTTCCTTAGGCCACTAGGAAGCTTTGTAGAGCCGACATGATGTGTGGGGATTGGGACAACTGTCCCCTGCCTCAAGTTTGGTTCCTGTGAGGTGGAAAGAACCCAGGTTCTCACTAGGCCCTAATCACAGCTTCCTGGGTGCAGGCCAGGGTGGGTGTAGAACTCAGACACTGGACTCCTTGGGAGCACGCATGGATAGGTAACACCAGCAGGCTCAGCTGGGCATGGCGCTGAGTGGCTGGGGGAGGGTGGTGTGACCCAGGCTAGGCTGACAGGCTGGGGGAGCCAGTTCTTTATGCTTTCATCCATTGCCTTTTATCCCCTTCCCCTCACCCACTAGCGACTGTTAACCTTTATTTTACAGGCTTTTGGTGAGATCTCATCCCTGTATGTGAGTGAGTGAACGTATTGGTGCGTAGCTCATTCTGTTTCTCAGGCTGTTCACTCCTCACTCTGATGTGAAGCCCAACCATGTCACTACACGTCTGTCTCCTCTGCTGCTTCCATCTGCAACACAGTGTACATCCAAAAGAACTGTTTCTAAACACTGCCCTAGCAAAACACACAGAACAGCCCATCTGAGAGCCCTGCGCTGCACTGTCGAGTTAAACAACAGTGCCATGACTGCACTCTACACAGAGATATGCAGATAGGTGACGTCTGTACAAATAAAGCTGTGTGTTTAGGCATGCTCATTTTTCTGTCTGTGATTTTTTGAAAAGAGATAAACCAGGCTGAGTGCAGTGGCTCATGCCTGTAATCCCAGCACCTTGTAAGGTTGAGACAGGAAGGTCACTCAAGCCCAGGAGTTTGACAGCAGCCTGGGCAACACAGCAAAACCTGGTTGCTACAAAAAAATGTGAAAACTGAGCTGGGTGTGGTGGCACACACCTGTAGTCCCAGCTACTTGGAAGGCCGGGGCGGGGCTCCAGGATCACTTGAGCCCAGGCGGTCAAAGCTGCATTGAGCTATGATTGCACCACTGCACTCCAGCCTGGTACAGAGAGAGAGAAACCATAAGAGGAGCCTCCTTTAGGAAGGGGCTTTGACTCCATCGACGGTCGGGAAACATACCCACTTGGGCATCTTGCCCCCATCGGGGTCGTGGTGGTGGTACTGCAGCACGATCACCGTCACCACCACTGAGAGGCCCACGATGATCATGGTGCTGGCGAAGTACTGGGCTGTGGAGAAAACAGACTCAGGGTGAGACCAGGGTTCCTGCAGCACTGAATGTCACAGGGCGGGCGCACCCTGACCAGGCTCTCTGACCGCCAATGTCTCAGGGTACCGTGATCCCTAAGTGCTGGGGAGGACCACCTCCTGACTCCAGTCAGGCCTGCAGCCTACCGCTCACCTTCTGGGCAGGCAGAGACCGGCCAGTGCAGTCTAATATCTCACCCACAGGGTGGCTTCGACTCACTAAGCGCCCTTAGGCTCACTCTGTTTTCCTTCATCACTGAATTAGTGGTGCCCAGCAGGATAGTGAGAAGGCGGTTCCTCTGAAGAAGCTCTGGATGGTTAGAGTGGATCACCATCATGACTGCAGGCCTTGGATGTGTTCTGGGGGTACAACAAGGACAAACCTGGGCCCCACCTGGCTGCCTTATCAGCCCTGGACACTGGGGTGTTGGTGTGGAAAATGAGTCTGGCTCTGGCCCCTGAGAGACAAGGGAGTGGGAGGTCAGCTGCTCAGCCTAAGGGGCCAGTGGCAGTGACTTTTCAGGCCATGAACGTCAGCCTCAGTCCAATGGGCCATGGGTTTGTCTCTCCACCTGGGCCCAGGTGAGAAGCAGTATGGCACATCTGCAAGAGCTTTACACTGGCTGCCAGCTGTGAGATTGGACAGGTTACTCAGCCTGTCTGGGCCTTAGCTCTTCAGCAGGTGTGGTACAACAGACTGAATGTTAGTGTTCCCACAAAATTCAGGTGTTAAAACCCTAGTCCCAGTGGGATGGTATTTGGAGGTAGGGCCTTTGGGAGATGTTATCTTGTGATTTATGATAAGAAATATGTATATTTCGTTTTCTCTCATTTTTTGACATGTAGCTCCTAAAACCCTTGAAATGAAGTAATACGTGTATTTTATTTTATTTTATTTAAAAGATGTGGGGTACAATTCCGGATTAGGTATACAAGTGGTCATCATACAGATAAAGTTTGGGCCTCTCTTTGGTCCCCATTTCGCCTGGTTTGAGATCAGGTCCCCTTATGGATGCTGTGTGCCTTCCCCCCAGCAGTTTCCCATCATTGCCAATCCCTTTCTTACAGTATTATGATAAATGTTCAGGGTCCACTTATGAGTGAGAACATGTGATACTCAATTCTTTGTTTCTGTGACAGATTACTGAGTATCATGGACAATGTAGAAGTGTTCCCTTTTCTCTGCATCCTCTCCAGCATCTGTTGTTTTTTAAAGTTATTGATGATGGCCACCTGACTGGAGTTAGATGGTATCTCAATGTGGTTTTAATTTGCATTTCTCTGATGTTTAGTGAGGCTGAGCATCTTTTCATATATTTGTTGGCTTCTCCTGTATCTTCTTTTGAGAAGTGTCTATTCATATCTTTTGCCCACTTTTTAATACGGCTGTTTGATTTTTTCTTTTTGGCACATTTGGGTTCCTTGTAGATCCTCTCTATGGAAAACAGTATGATGACTCCTAAAAAATCTAAAAATAAGTGTCTTTTGTGTGCTAATGAGGTGACTGGTGGCTGGGAGCTCTTGGGTAGTCTCCAGATAAGAGCTGGTTGCCAGGGTGACCAACCATGTGTTTATAGAGAAAGGAACTGAGAATTGAGCTGGCCATCAATGACCAAAGATGTAATCGATCATGCCTATGTAATGAAACATCCATAAAAACCCCAAGGCCAGGATTCAGAGAGCTTCCAATCGCTGAACACAGGAAGGTTTCTGGAGGGCGCCAGAGAGGCATGTAAGTTCCTCACTCCTTCCCATATGCCTTGCCCTATGTACTTCTTCCATCTGGTCATTCATATGTATCCTTTATGATAAATGAGTAAATATAAGGAAAGTACTTCCCTGAATTCTATGAGTCCTTCCAATAAATGACTGAACCCAAGGGAGTGGTTTTAGGATTCCCCCCTCCCAATTTATAGCCAGCCAATCAGCAGCACAGAAATCCCAGACTTGCAATTGACTTCTCAAGTGGGAAGAGTCTGATAAGCCCTTAACCTGTGCTAACTCCAGTGCACAGAATCAGAGCTGAATTGAGTTGTGGGACACCCAACTGGTTTCCAAGAAAGGGTCAGTGTGGGAGAAAAACTCACGCATCTGGTGTCAGAGGAGGTGACTAGAGGGGGATCCCTCATGAATGAGATTTGTGTCCTTCATAAAAAGAGGCCAAAAAGTTAATTAGCTCTCCTTCTGTCACGTGAGACCACAGCAAGAAAAGGGCCATCTGTAAACCAGGAAGTGATCCCTCACCAGAACCTGACTGTGAAGGCACCCTGATCTCCAACTTTCAGCCTCTGGATTTGTGAGAAATATCTGTTATTTAAGCCAACATGTCTGTGACAGTCTGTTATAGTAATCCGAACTAAGAAAGACAAGAATGCCTTCCTTGCAGGATTAGTGCAGGAATTAACAACTATATAGGCCAAGATATCCAGGAGAAAGTCTGGCACAGAGGAGGGATTCTTTATTTACTTTACTTTATTTATTTATTATTATTTTTTAACTTATTTTTTAGTTGGAGTCGCACTCTGTCGCCCAGATTGGAGTGCAGTGACATGCTCCTGGCCACCACAGCCTCAGCCTGCTGGGCTCCGGCAATTCTTCTGCCTCAGCCTTCCAAGTAGCTGGAACTACAGGCGTGTACTACCACACCCAGCTAATTTTTTATTTATTGAGACGAGGTCTCACCAAGTTGCCTGGGTGGGTCTTGAACCTGCAGGCTCAGGCAATCCACTCACCTCAGCCTCCCAGAGTGTTGGGATTACAGGCTGAGCCATCAATCCTGGCCTACTTATTTTGAGTTAGCATTTCACTCTATCTCCCAGGCTGGAGTGCCGTGGCATGATCATAGTTCACTGCAGCCTCCACCTTCTGGGCTCAGACAATCTGTCCGCCTAAGCCTACTGAGTAGCTGAGACTACAGGTGCATGCCACCACACCAGGCTAATTTTTCTGGATGTTTTTGTAGAGACAAGATCTCATTATGTTACCTAGGCTGATCTCAAACTCCTGGGCTCAAGTCATCCTCCCCCTTCAGCCTTCCAAAGTGCTGGGATTACAGGAGAAATCTCATTCAGGAGGCATTCTTTAATTGGCAACTCTGATTATTAAATCTTTAATGTGGTTGTTCACTCAAGGGGGTTGAGCCCCACGCAGAAAGCACTACAGGGCAGGAGGCTAAGTATAGAGTCCACACACCTGACTGAGACCACCATCTGAGGAAGGAGCTTACTGCTTTCCTACAGAGACTGAGAGGTACCTGAGCAGAGCTCTGCCAGAGGTGGATATTTGGGACTTAGTCAGCATGAGGGTCCTCTGAGAAGAAGAAAAAGGGCAGACCAAACCATGACCATTGTGTGCTGCAATCCATATGTCAAAGCCCTAACCCTCGGTTCCCCAGAAGGTGACTGTATTTAAAGAGGTTATTAAGGTAAAATAGGGCCATCAGGGTGAACCCTAATCCAATCTAACTCGTATTCTTGTAATGAAGAAGAGGAAATTTGGACATAGAGACACCAGGAATGTGATGTACAGAGGAAGCACCATGTGAGGATAAAGCATCATGCGGACAGCTGTTTGCAAGCCAAGAAGAGAGGCCTCAGGAGAAACCCTGCTGACACTTTGGTATCAGACGACTGGCCTCCATAACTGTGAGAAAATAACTTTTTTGTTGTTTAAGACCCCAGGTCCCAGGTATATTATCATGGCAGCCCGAGCAGACTAAAGGACCTGTGGAGGGATCTGGGGTCAAAGGAATGCAGAACTGGAATTCCATTAATAGAGGGCAGCAAAGCTGACGCCTTTGAGGCCAACTATCATCCTTCTAGACACAGGAAATGCACCAGCCAAGCCTCTCCCAGTAGGGCCATCAATCAACCAGGGCCTGCAACCGCCCCAGGAAAGGTAGTCTCTGTTGCAAGTTTCTGTTGAAAGCCATGTGTTGGAAGGTAAAACAAATAGGCTGTAAAGTGGGTGTGGATGGCACCAAGGGAAATGTGACACCCACAAAGGCTTCTCATACCAACAGTTTATCTGGCCAAAATGCTGCACATGTGGAGAGCTCCATAAAGAAAGGTCATTGGCAGCTTGGTTCCTAAAGCAGGGGTGTCTGTGTAAGGTTCTCTCACTCCACCTCACCCCTAGTGAGCCACATAGTGTGGGTCCTTGGGCAGCAGGGCCAGCAGACATAATCACAGACTGCATTTCTGTTTCTCACTTCTACCACCCAATGGCAGTAGAGACTTTCATTTTCATTGGCCCTCTCTGGACAGAAGGTCATGCCCTATACCTGACCCGGGCAAAACATATCTGTCCTGTCTATATCTTACCAAAGACTTTTATTTTATATGGAGACGTTGAGTTATCTCAGGACATAGTGGCAAAGAGTTAAAGTGTGTGCTTCCCCCATTTTAATAAAGGCTTGTGGGAAAACAACATCTTAAACTGAAATAATGAATCTCCAATGATAAAATATCTGGCTTCAAAAGAAAGCATGAGGGGTAGAATTATGCGGGGAAGGGGGCATTTCTGAAAATTAAAGGCGAACCACAAAGCCAGATACTCCGTGCCCCTTACTTGGGCCCAAGTGACCAGAGGTTGTGGGTCACCCTAAATAGGTTCAGCAAGTCATCTCCTCCCCGCTGGGGATATTATAGCCATGCTTCTCCTAGTTTCACCCACAGGAAAATCCTGGGTACTTTCCAAACCTGTGTCTTTATGAGGAGCCCAGCTCTTGCCTTACCTATCAACGGCACAGAATCAGATGTTGCCGGCATGATTTCAGCCACAAGCAGCATGAAGACAGTAAGAGAGAGCAAAACCGTGATCCCTAAAACATAAACACACAGTGGTTCCTTAGCAAACCATACACTAAGTCCTCAATTCTGCTTTACAGGGTTCCCTAACCCGAGATTCACAGAACTACAGAAGGGCTGGAGAATGTCACAGGATGTATGGTTTCCCTAAATGTGGGCAAGTGCATTTTCCCGGGAACAGTCCAAACCATTGGCCAGAGTTCCAAAGTCCCTGTGGGAGACAAGCTTAGGATCCAGAACTCTGGAAGGATCAACACATGCTAAAAAATTTAACTTGGCATAATTACCTCTCACTTTCCTTATTATATTATTATTAAGAGGTAGTTTCAGATAGCCAGAAAAAGAAAATATGCAGTCTAAGACCTGATTTCAGGTGTTAAGTTTGCTACTTATTAGCTGTGTGACCTTGGATATAACATTCAACCTTTCTGAGCCTCAAACTCAGAAGACAGGGTTTGAGAATGATTTCTACCATATGCCACATAGGATCTTTAGTAACTCTTTAAGATAGTGAGAACACATTTCGCCATTCAAAATCTTAGTTTTCTTGTCTTTGTATATGAGTGACCTTAAGGAATTACACTGAATATAGCAACATTGAAATGCAAGTTGATATTAAGCTAAGCTGTTCCCCATCTACAATGAATGCCAAGGGTCACCATCAAGGATCAGGTGGGGTAGCAGAAGGGGAGAACTTCAGGCCCCTCAGCGCAGAACTGAGCTGGGCCCTCCCTGTGCAGGCCCACTTTCCACATAGGAGCTGAGGACCTAAGGGTCCTATAGTATTCTCAGGAGGGCACGGCCATCCAGCACGCAGCCTGAACCAGGAGTCTCCAGTGTCCTGGAGCCATCCTGGCCTAGTAGGTAAGTATAGGATGAACCAAGCAGGCCCTTGCAACCCTCATTGAGCCCTGTAGAGCTGGCCTCAAGGAAGGGCCACCGGTCTCAGACTCTGATCCTTGACTCTCATCAGAGATCCAGGCACTTACCCAGGGAGATTTTCTCCCCGGAGTCTGCAGGAAGCAAGAACACCAGCAGGGCAAGGGCGGAGATGAGCACACAGGGGATGAGCAGGTTGAGGCCATAGTAGAGGGTTCTGCGGCGCATGGTCACTGTGAACGTGACGTCCGGGTATGGCTCCTTGCAACACTCGTAGAACTTCTCGTTCCTCTTGCCGGGGATTCCTCCGTGAGGAGGAAGAGAAAAGGAGCCATCGTTAGAATGCAACACATTACTGTTTATTTTCATGTGTATGCCACACATAAGCACAGCCTTGGAGTTTGCAAAATGCTAAAAACTTGGGTGATTAGTGCTTGAATAAGCCCTTGCTAGTTTATTATAGAGTTAAGAGCATCTTAGTGGTAGTTGAGTAAATTGGTAGATATTATTTTGATGAACTGGAAATACATGATTGTAATAATACATCACCCATTTTATACCATTAAAAATGTAATCATTATTTTTCTCTTTTAAATAATCAAATCTAGGTTCCCACCAACTGCAATTTGCTGTCCAACCTGCTTTTAGAAGTAGAGTGGATTTGAATAATGTGAGGATACCTATATTAGCACTGATTTACTCAAACGTCCTCTCTTTAGTTGCAAGCTCGTCTTGGAAAGTCTGGCATATCCTAATTGTATTTTGTTTCTCATTCGATAGTGCTCAGTAAATTATGGAGACTGCTGAGGAGTTCATTGAATACTCACACTGAAAGGGATAGTGGAAAATCCCAAACAATTTAAGCTAGCTCAGGAATAAAGCAGCTTTCTTCCAGGCTGCTGGTCTCAAGGCTTACCCATGAGGTCCCACTCTCCGTTGGGGATATAGCCACTGATATCTGCCTCCTGCATCTGCAGATCCAAGGACCAGCCTCCGTAAGACCAGGAACCAAACTTCAGTGTGCACTTCTGCACATCAAAGGGAAACCAGCGCACGTCGATGTAGCAGGAACTCTTGAATATGCCTACATGGGTGATGGCAACAGTCAGAAGACAGACCCAGAAGCTGACTGAGATGTCCTCGAAACGCACAGCAGTTCCTCCAGCCAGTCCTGCCCCTCCAAACTGAGCTAACCCTGTCCTGAGCAAAGGGCTTTTTTTTTTGCCAAATCTCTAGAATAGCTCAGCTGAAGCTTCACTGTCTTTTAAAATTCAAACACAACTCTGACACGTTCTGTCAAAGACTGTTTTGTGGACTTTCTTTCCAAAAAACCTCGCTCTACAAAATTGCCTTTACCAAAAGCATCTTCAGACTTATAAAAGTAAAGAATGTAAAAAACTCAAAGAATTTGATAAAAATGAAGGGGTTAAAATCTGAAAGGTAGGGGTGTGTGTGTGTGTGTGTGTGTGTGTGTTTGTGTTTAGTGTGGGTCTGGGACAGGTATTTTCTTTGGGTTAAAAACTGGGAAAACACTCGATTATCTAGAAATGTACTTTAGGTTCTAACTGAAGCTAGAATTTTAACTAGTTTAAATTGTAGATCAAGAACAGAAAAAGAACTGACAGGTTTAAGTTGAAGAGATAGTGCTTGGATACAAGAAAGAGTTTCCACTGACAATTCAAAGCTATTCCAGGTCGGGGCAGGTTGAAAGTGAAGTTCCAAGAGGGCCATGAGGAGGAGATAAGGAAAGGTCACTCCAGTAACTCACACCCAGCGCTCTTCCCTATCCAAAGAAGGATCAGCTGGCTTGGGAAGAAGTGACTAGCTTAAGTGTCCCAGGGATCCTGGAGCAGGGCAGGAGCTCTGCAAATTTCTGCTACTGAATTAAGAAAGCCATGCATGGAGGAAGGGTCTTTCGAACAAGGACACCACCCCCTGTCTAGTTGGGAAAAGATAATACACTCTTTATCCCCTCAAGTTCTTTTATTTTGAGTTGGAGTCTCACTCCAACGCCCAGGCTGGAGTGCAGTGGCATGCTCACAGCCACCCCAGCATCGGCCTGCTGGCCTCAGGCGATCCTTCTGCCTCAGCCTTCCAGGTAGCCAGAACTACAGGCGTGCACTACCATGCCCGGCTAATTTTTTTTCTTTATTGTAGAGATGAGGTCTCGCCAAGTTTCCCAGGCTAGTCTTGAACTGGTGGGCTCCGGCAATCCTCTCACCTCAGCCTCTCACAGTGCTGGGATGACAGGCTTCAGCCACTGTGCCCGGCCCCTTCCTTCAAGTTCTTTTAAGTGTGAACTGTAGCGCTGTATCAAATGTTCAGCGAAATCTGTTGCCATCACCCATTAATATGCTGGGTGCCCCATGGTCTGCCACATGGTCTGCAAATTAGAAGGTTCTATAACCTTGTAAATCCATTTCCATGAAATGACCCACAAAAGAGAATTTCTAGAGACAGAAAACAGATCAGTGGTTGCTGGGAGTGGGAATGGGGATTGGCTGCAAACAGGCAGAAGGGATCTTTGTGGGGCGATGGGACTGTTCTAAAACCAGATTGTGGTCATGGTTGCATAACTCTGTAAATATACTAAAAATTGTTGAATCATGCACTTAAAATGCATGATATGTAAATTCTACCTCAATAAAGCTATTAAAAAATAAACACATGACACAGGGGAAGTCATGTTGTAATCAAATCTCTATTTTAAAGCCAAAATATTCCTTTTCACCCATGTTTCCCTAACCATGACAGAGCAGTGTCCTGAGCCAATTCTGTACTTCCCCAGGATACCCCAAGCCAGGCAGCTGTGAGCCTTCCCTAACGGTGTGAGGGAGGCCCTCATGGTCACAGCACAATATGTTCGGTCCTGATAAGGGTCCTGGGCCACTGAGGGGGGGACACAGGAATGGAGCCCCAGAAGAGGCTGCTGCACTCAGGCAGCTCAAGGATCAGGATTGTGCGCCTGTTGCCGAAAATAGCCTCAGCCTTCAAACAATCTGCAGCACCATGTTCTTCTACACTGGTGACTACTGGAGGTTGTTTTCTAAAATAGCCCTCATAATAGAATCGGCACCGTGCAGGCTTGGAGAGAAAGACCTTCCATGTGAAGGAAGGCTTACCCCCCAGCCTGTTGCAAGGGGCCTGCTGTGAGGAGGAGATGCCAGGCAGTAGCGGGAAAGCAGATGCTCTGAGACAGAAAATTGGCCTTCTTCAATCTGAGCAAACATTGCTGGGAGGCATCTACCTCTGGCAGGTTCAGTCACTCACTCATTCATTCATTCAGGGGCGGATTCTAAGGTGAGCAGACACAGATTCTGCCCATGGGATGCGAACCACCTGCCGACAGGGAAAGCATGTAAACAACCACCCCAAAAACCAACGCCAGCCTGGCTGTGCGCTGCAAGAGGGGCTGAAAGGCCTGAGACAGCAACTGACTGTTGGAGGGGGTCACGTGTGAGTGTGTGAGTGTGAGATTGTGTGATGTGTGTGAGGTTGGGATATGTGTGTCTGTGTGAGCGTGTGTGATGTATGTGAGGTGTGTGTGACTGTGTGTGATATGTGCATGTGAGTGTGAGTATGTGAGTATGAGTGTGGTATGTGAGTGCATATAAGAGTGCAGAAGCTTGTGTATGTGTTAGAGTAGGTGGTATGTGTGTGAGGTGTGTGTGGTATGTGCATGTGAGTGTGACACTGTGTGGTGAGTATGCTTGTGTGGGTATGACAGTGTGGTGTGTGTGTATATGAGCATGCATGTGAGAGTGTAGAAGCTTGTGTATATGTGATAGCATATGAGTATGTGAGTATGAGACTGTATTAGAGTGTTTGTGTGTGTGTATGAGTGTGTGTGGTATATGCATGTGAGTGTTTAAGCACGTGAGTGTGTGATATGTGTGAGATGTGTGTGTACATGTCAGAGCATATGAGTGTGTTTGTGGTGTGTGTGTGTGTGTGTGTGTGTGTGTGTGTGTGTGTGAGAGAGAGAGAGAGAGAGAGAGAGAGAGAGAGAGAAAGTGAACAGTAACCATAAGATAAGGAGATATATGTAGGCTGCCTGCAAGTAGAAAGTTAAACGAAGCAAACAGTTACAGTGGGGAAGATATTCTTAGAAAAGAATATGTTAAAAAAAATCTTCTGAAGATCAAAAAACCCAACTGTTAATAGTAGTTTGCTAAAACATATCCTGGATGTACCTCAAAAGCTGTAACCCGATTTCCCATGTCTGGATGGTCCATTGAGCAGCCCAGGGCCCTGTGAATCCCATTGAAATGAAGGGCTGATGCAGAAAGAATCAATCCAGAAAGTGTGAACCACTGAGGGATTGAGAGAAACTCCTTCAGGAACAAGTAGGTCACTAACAAGTAGCACTCCCTTGAAACCACTGGACCGGATCAGGTATGTGACCTGCATATGCTCTTCAACTGACACATTCAAGACCAGATCCCCAGACCCACATCTCACCCCAGCAGCTACAGGGCTGCACCTGCCAAAATGCCGAGTCTGGAGGGAAGGACAATGGCAAGCCGGAATGGAGGAGCGAGGCCTGTAGATCTAGCCTGCAGGTTGCAAGGTGAGGTGGAAATTACCCAGCAAGGGAGACTCACTTTAGTTGTAGATTAACTTTGAAGAACACAAGGCAGAAATAAGAACACATGATACTCACTGGCAAAGACGGCTTGAGCCATCAGGAGTCCGAGACGAGTGAAACACATGAAAACACAGAAGAGAATAAAGAGGAGGGGTGGGAGTGACCAGAGGGAAAAGATCCTCGGTGTCCAGATCTGGTCAACCACACAGGTGGTGCTGTCCACACTGTCACCCAAACTCAATTAAGTGTTCTCACTGGAGGAGGACAGAGAGGTGCAACTTACCTGGAGGGAGGTACTGGCAATGTCCAGAAGAATTCACCAACACGTTGGTGTGGAATGTGGCGTCAAAGCGCTCATCAGCACTGGAACAGGAAAAGATGTAATGAGCTAGTGCTGCCAGGCTGCAGGCTTCCTGATGCCCTTGGGTCTGTCACTGTGGTTGAAGCAGCAGAGCTTTGAGGGGCTCCTGCCTGTACCAGGGCAACTCCACAGTGAGAGTACCCCTGCAGCTCACCTGTGAGGTCTTCTCAGAGCACAGCTTGGGAGGGGCCCCAGTCTGCCCCCATTTCAATTTTCACACTGAACTATGATTTTTTTCATAATGTATACAAGACAAAGCTCTAAACCAAACGGAAACCTGAAAAAAGGTTAGGAGGACACCAGCAGATGAGACATTCCACCACATATGTGGAGATAAAGAGCAGGTAGGTGGGAGCAGGCAGCCACCCCATCAGCCCTGTGGGGCGGGGATTTCGACCTGCTGTGTTCAAAGCTCTAGGTCCATCTTCTGGAATGGAGCCAACAATGACTGGTGCTTCACACATATATTGTGAATGTTTGCAACTACAGGTGTGGGAGGGGGCTGGACACACACAAAGCCCCAGAGGGTTCAGGCTCCACAATGACTGATGACAAGAAGGAAGGTGGGTGAAGATAGCAGAATTGAGTACAAATCTTAGATGAATGCTCCCCAGCCCCCTCCCACCCATGTTCAAGGTTCCTGCAGCCAGGAGTTAACAACTAGGATAAAAGTACACACACACACACACACACACACACACACACACACACACACACACACAATGAAGAAACAGCAACAACTAAACCAACAGCGTGTATTAACCATGTCTTATATTTTCTGTCCTCTAATGCTCTGACATCTGGGGCCTTGTGAACCAGGAGGGACCTGGGAGGAGAGTCAATTCCCAGAGATAGTAAAAAACGTGTTCCAGAGCTTGCAGTTCAAATACAAACCAATCAATCCAGAGCTCATGCTCCCAGACACCTCCCTTATCAGGCTGTTGCACTCGAGGTCACTATGCACCTGCCCCCATCATCCCAGAGCCTGGTACCAGCTAACCAGGAAGAGTGACTATGCCCAAGAATCTTCTAAAATTATTCAAACCAGCCAATCCTAAGTCTAAACCTGCTTACCCTGCCTCTCCCGTTCCTTCCTGCAGAATCCACAATAAAACATCTTGCCCACATTTCCACCCTTTTCTTTCTGCCTCCTGACCGACCCTGGTGCCTTCCCAGGACCCTGCATGCTGTGCTATGCCCCTGCTTCTAAGAAGTTAGAAGTAAAGTCTTCTTCCTTCATGATGGGCATTCTTGTGTCTGTGTGTCTTATCACGCCTGATTAAAATAAATCCCAATCACCCTTACAACACAGTCCTCCATATAAAGAAAAACAAACCACCTCAAAAAAACACAGGCAGCCAGTCAAGGTGCCAGAATGAAGTTCCCCTCACTTTGCCAAATGGGGCCCCTAATAAGAGCTGCCCATGTCTCCAGAGCCTCAAGCATCCCATCCTAAGCCTGGGATCTTCATCATGGAAAACGCAGAATCACAAATATTTAAGGACCATCTTCAGCAAGAGGCACACAATCAAGGATAGACACACAAAAAAGATCCAGAGTCAAAGAAAAGATTTTTTTTAAGTAATATTTTCACAAAAATTCAGAAGGATATTGCAATTAATAAAACAGAACAGTATGGAAATGAAAGATGATTTCTGAAATGATGTTTTACAAATGGGTGGGAGGTTTGGCTGATAGGAATCACAGAGATAAAGTGTAGGATAGAAATGAGGAACAGTACAGAGTGCAAAGCCAGGGAAACTTGCTTCACTCACAGAATCTCCATCCAAGACCATGAGAAGGAATGGGAGGGAGAAAATTACCAAAGAAGTTTCCTGCAGCAGAAAGAAACCACCCAAGCATGAAGGCATACAGGCATTCTCAAGAAACTTAAGGGCACTGAGAGCTTGTTTTCCAGGTATATGTCTCCTTGGTCAACTTTGGCTCAATGAGGGTGAAAACCGAGAAAGATGACATATGCTTTTAGACTAAACATGCAGATATCAAGAAAGGCACTTTCATGATGAGCAGTACCATAGGCCTAGAAAGGAGTGGGTACAAATCAGAGCAAGATGTTAAGATACTGAGGAGAGACCTGAATGGATTCAGAGCAAGGGCAAGGAGAAATAATGAGCTGGAAAACACCATGGTCTTAAATAAGGACACATTTAAAAAGTTCCTGTAATAAGAAAAAAGGCAACCAAAAACTCCAGGAAAAGATCATACAAGGAAGTCATGATTTGAATGTGAAACAAATAAAAAATGTGATGGAATTTAAAGAAAGGAAGGAAGAGAAGGAGGGAGGAAGGCAGGGAGAGAGAGAGAGGCCCAGCTGTCACAAAAGGACAATCTGCCCCCTTACTTCCACACACACAGGGAAAAAGAGAGGAGGAGGTAGGATCAAAGCGTAAACATCCTTTGCCTGACTGTGGTCTGCATCTGACTGTGTTAACGAGTTGCATTATATACAGTGACTGGGCACAAAACAGCTGAAATGTGGACCCGCACAAACTCACTTGGGAAAATTTCATGATTTTCAACTACAGTCTCTGGAATCCTCAGCTTCTGGGGAGGGACCTCAAGGTCTTTGCAAAAGTTTGACTTCAAAATTTTCTATTCTTTGGACGTGAAAATGGCAATAAAAGTAGACACTCACTCAAATGACTGTTAACACAATTTCAACTCTTCAGAGAATGCCAATGTGTTCATTTATATGGTCCGTTTAACTCCCTTTTGGGTGGAAGTTACACTGAAACACCTCTTGCCATGGATGTGTTTGCATCTGAATCTCTTGTAAAGGTATTACCAAATGAGAGTTCAGCTTTGCACTGCTCTTTTCAGAAATGCAAGTTTGTGCCTACAGGTACAGGGCAGCAAACCTGCACCAGACACGGCATACATCCCCCCTACGGTGCACCCTCAGCAGTAGCCACACAGAAAGTGGGGTCTGATGCATGTCACAAGAAAAACAGCTTTGCTTATTTTAAGCTTGGGTTTCTTCCTGTCTGACTTTCATATTTATAATACAGAATGCGAGCATCTGTTAGATCAGTGATTCAACTCTGGGAGAAAAAGGTTCCTACAAGCTTTTCCTTCCAGCATTTGGATCAACTTAATTGAAGAGACTCTCCAGATCACAAGGCAAATGGGTAAGAACAAGATAAGAGACTGTTGCCATTAGCAACACCTTACCTGTGTGACTCAGTGATATCTGAATATTGTTCGCCAAACAGAGTATTGAAATACATGAAATTTTAACACTGTAATTGTTGTCCAAATTCAAATCTTAAATATCCATGATGGCAGTTTTATGCCTCTTTCCCATAGGTGAATTGATTTTATAAGCATACAATATAAAAGTAAACTCTTGTAACAGATTTGTGCTAACACCACTTTATCTGTTTTGAGCATTAGGGCTGGTGATAAGATGTGTTTGAAAAAGGGCCCTGTTGTTAAACAGAGTTTGAAAACAGCTCTCTGAGACAGGAAATGAAGTATCTTTGAGACGAGTGACCAAAACCACCAATGACCTTGGTGGCCACAGCACTGGCAGTTTACATGAGGATGTCCAGATGCCAGCCAGCAGCAACCACAATGCCATGTGCTAATGCAGCCTTGCAGCTGCCAAATACCCATAACTGTGGAAATGGGGATGAGACCACAGAGACACATTTCACTCCTTACCCTGCTTTTGTGTGCATCTGAAATTTTCTATATTAATTTGAAAATGGTGAAATACATGTTTTTTTCCCTTGACTATTAGAAGACACTGTACTTGCAGAGTTCTTGAGGATGCCTGCCTATGGCCCCTCCATCCCTGCAAGAGCTGCCTTTCTCAGCTGCCTCTGTCACCCCCAGCCAGCATGCCCAGAGCTCACTCTTGGTGTGAAGAGAGCTCTGAGCCCCACTCCCACCACAGAGGGGTTGACTAGGGAAAATTTAACTCAAATATTCAAGATACAAACTATGTATCTTAGAGGGATGGTCAGGAGAAGAAGGCATCTGGACGGCTCTGATGATGGGTAGAGTTCCTGCAGATGGAAATGAAGGTGGACTGGACCCTGGCAAAGAGCATGGTAGGATCACACACCTGGAGATAAACCAAAAAGAGGGAGGCTCCAGGAGGTATGGTAAGTCCCAAGCAATAAGGCTAGAAAGAAAGTTTGGGAGCAAACCACTGATTGCCCATGCCAGGCAGGGCTCAGGTGCCCAATCCTTACGGGACTACATGCTGTGCTTTTGGACGTCCATGGCAGCACAGGCAGGGAGAGCCCATGGGGCACAGGTGGATCCTGTGGGTCTGGGCGTAGACCTCTCCCTCCCTTATACCCCCTGGCATCCCACACAGTGGTACCTGGTCTCATCCCTGCAAAGGGCTCTGAAGCAAGAGCCTCTGATCCCTTTCCAGCTTCCTGCCTCAAGAGGATCTACAGTATCAACCCCCATGGCTGCGCCTGGAGAGACTCAACCTTAAGCCAAGAAATGGGAAAGTGACCATGCCATCTTCAGACAAGGTGTTACCTGGCCCAGGGGCCCAGCTGTCAGCACCTTGAGAAAAACAAAACAAAACAAAACAGGTGGCCCAGTCATCAAAGAAACCCAACAAGATCAACCCCCACCTGGGCATGTGCTCACCAGAATGAGAATCTGTGTTCAAGTAAACAGGAGTAATTTTTTAAAAAAGAAATCCAGATGCACTGTACTGCTGCAAGGAGGACGCTATGTGTGGGCTCAGGATGATCCAAATTAATAAGGTCTCATGTGACACTAATCCCATTCCCTCTGAGCTCTCATCATCCTTGAAAGACTGAGAGGGAAGAGCAGAAGAGATGAAAATTTTATCTATCTTTAAAAAGTAAGGAAGGAGGAAGCTCCTCTATCTCAGAAGACAGTGGCTTGAAGGTGCTATTTAAGTCCCTTAAGGGAAGAAAAAAGTCGCCAATTCCATGTGAAGACACTACTAATAGAAGGTATGCCCAGATTTCAGAAGGAAAACAAGACT